AAAAAAAAAAAAAAAAAAAAAAAAAAAAAAAAAAAATAAAGGTTATGCCACAAAAATTATCAACATCACTAAAGCTATAATTGCTTCTTGCTATAATCAAAACTGTCAATTCATTTTGGTGACTTTTTTTATCAATCACTAAAATTATATCAATCTTTATCACCATGAGCACATTTTCTTTCGACTATCATTTGATGTGTATTGGATATATCATCAGTGTGATCATACCACATACTAAAAACTTTTTCAAAAGAGTGTCTATGTATTAAGTATTTTGCCTGCAATAAACCATGTTGTGGCAGAGTGAGTCAGAGAAACCACAAAATTTTCCCTTTTGGATCCTTAAAATTACCACAAAATGAACATTTACATAAAAATATAATATAAATATGACTTATTTTGCATGATAAGGAAGATTAATTTTAATGCCTTGCAGCATTCCTAGAAAGGGGAACTTTATTACATTTTACAGAGGCTGATAAACTGGAAAAGTCACTGGAAAAATGCCTACAAAGTATATATTTTTCTATGGATAAAAATACCGTGAACAATGATATTTCCAGTGTGATGAGTACACAGGTTGACTCATGTTGGCACATCCTCTGTTTATCGCATCTGATTTGGCAACTTTCACTCTCATCTAATGTCTAATTCTGTTTCAAATTAAAGCACTCTTAGTTTAAGAGTTTTGACGGTAACTTTCCTCTGTCCATCACTTTTCTTCATAGTTTCAGTTATTTAGCAAAAACATCCTGATTCTGAAACTTAAAGTGAGTTAGAGGAAACCTTCAACTTAAGCCTGGTCATAAAACTATCTCTTCAAAGGCCTTACAGTTTCAATAACTAGAAGATGGAGATCACTTGAAGATGGAGAAACCTTTTTTTTTTAAGATAAAAAGCATTTAATTATATAAAACATGTGCAAACCCATATTGTGTGAAAATGAAGCATTTGGTTGGAAAATGGGCAATGATCAAATTACTGCTGCAGGTCACAGGGTATATGGAGCAAATGGAAGAAAATGACTTTAAGAATGTAAGAAAAAGAAATGTAAAAGCAAATGGTTACTAGTACTTTGAAATAATAATGTACAGTTAATATAAATATATTGGTAGTTTGCCTAATGAAATAATAATAAGTTCAGAATCAAACAGCACAAGCCCCTGTTTGCCATAGAGCCAAAATAGAGATATAGAGGGATATGGTAACCTAGAAGCATATGACTTGGCACTAATCAGACAGCACATGACCCCAACTAAACTGGACATTCTAAATGCCTTATCTATCATCTGATAATCAATATTTACTACAAGGTCCTACAAACTATAATAATACTAATTCTAAAAAATACAATTAAATTATTTTTAAATGTACTTCATCTGGCACTAAATATTATAACCTTCCAAGAATATGTTAGAAATACCCTGTGTAGTGTCTAACAATACCATAAATCCCACGAAGTATACACTTTCCACACACAGTCACTATCTATGAATCAAGATATTTTTATCTGATACCATAACATATCAAGCCTAGACTTCATTTAATCACCATTTTATTCAACCATCAATCATTTTGTTTTGTTTATAAACTATCTATCCCATTCCCATGATAAATATCCGAGTTACTTGTGCTAAAGGCAACTAGAGCACATATATCCTTTTGCCTGAAAATTCTTTCTGGACATCCCTGATAATTAATTAATGTCCTGTTTTAGGTATGTGACATCTAGCTATGGACCATCCTGTCCAGATTACAGGTGTGTCAGTAGAAGAGGGAATTTTCTATGAAAGGATGTATCCTTTTAGACAAAAGTTCCCCTTGCAGTGACACACCCGCAGTTTATATCATGTGCATAGGGAAATGTTTCATTGTGTGATTAAGCACATTAATTAGGAACATTCATATCTCTGTATATTTTATCTCACATCTTTATACAATCTTAGACTCCGTTCACATGAAAAGTCAATTTTCTAAAAATCTATTTTCTATTTGCGGTATCTTATGATCACTCCGAGGGCAGCCGAGAATTAATTACAGCTTTGGAAGTAACTGGCTCGCGCTGCCAGTAATTACGCCGCGGGATACTCAGGGGCCAGGGCACAGACCGTGATCATAAGATACCGCGAATAGAAAATAGATTTTTAGAAAATAGACTTTCCATGTGAACGAAGCCTTATATCTACTCTCTTACTGCAGCCAGAACTTTATTCTTGGTTTCAAAACATGCATATCTGGTAATTTGTAATATGACTAGTGTCTCTTTGCAGCTGAATATTTTCGCATTTTATTTGGAAGAATTGGGATAAAATAGCAGCAATTTCTTCTGGATAATGACCCAAATAAAAGATGTGTTTATTTCTCTTTGATTTCTTCCTGTTTCATATCAGACCAAGTGTTTCAAAAGCGGCCCTAAAATCTCTCTTCCTGAGTTACCTCAGATAACATCCATTGAGGTCAACTTTGTTTTTATTAATTTTCTATGTATTTAAAAAAATATCATAAAGGGGGATTATATAAGACCACTTAAGTAGCTATCACATGCACAAAATTCATAAATAAATTTCTTCTGTTACTTCTTTAGCCTCAGAAAGTATTTAATTAAAATACAAAATGCAACATCGATTCATACCCCTTCTGTACACTTCCCTTTCTGATACAATAAGTTTTAATCAGGTGACAAATTTGAGTGGAAAGCTAAGTGAGAAGATACTTTAAAGTTATAAGCACTGAAGCCAACTTTCCAGTTATGACTCATACCAAAGTAATGTCCTTAATCAGGAGTCTCTTCTGTAGTGGTATAAAAATTTTGCATGTGGCTTTGATTGTATAGAGCTACCTACGTTCTCACAATGTTTTCTGAATGCAGACCTGTGGCTTCAGACTTCCCTGTCTCTACCTGGACTACCTAAACCAATTTATAACGTTAATAAAATGACTGGATACTCAAAGTTTGCACAAAATGAATTTAACGAACCCTATGAGGCACTACCTATTAAATTAAATGGCTTCATGAATCCTCTTCAAAGGATTGTTCATGTGTTTTTATTGTGTTATAAGTCATTATTATCTATGAATATATGCTGTATATACTAAAATATCCCTTTGAAATAATGACAGTTATACTCCTGTCTATAATTAACTTTTCATGCAAAGAATGCATGAATTTCAGTACTAGTAGTCACTTGGTTTACAGCAAGTGATGATAAAAGTGGTCTAAATCAAGTATTTAAAGGAAATTTCCAAGTTTGGAAGATGACAGAATGATGGTTATTAAGAACTAGCAAAACTGTTTGGACTTTAATAATATCATGCACAAGGACATTCTGATTGAAAATAAAATTTAGAATTTGATTGATTAACACCAATACTAATTAACATACACGTATTAGTAAGAGTTTTTTGTTGAAATACACTAAGTCAAGCACATCATGCATCCTGCCTATATCAATCTAACACACAGTGGAAAATACATTTACTAGTATATTTAGTTCTAAATCTGCTGTTCAAAATGACTTACACTGTAGACACCAAATCCCCTGCCATGATATATTTTATGACATTGCACAAATTGCCCTTGAGACAGGTGGTGCTTGGTTTACAAATAGACTTATAAGTACATGAAACAATGGTTTACAATAGGAATGAGTGGGAAATTGAAGAACTGGTACACTGGAAACACATGGGAATGATCATATCAAAATTTTTGGGCAACTAAGAACCTTTTCACATCCACTTATTCAGCTGAGTTTCCACTTCTTCAAATGACTCCATATATTTTGTCAGAAAAATGCAGTCTGAGGTGATTAATTATATGAAAACAATGCCACCTGACCCTTTGGGATAAAAACAATTGTTGTATTTGTAGAATGTTCTTATTAATTCACTCAATTATGTACTAGTATACTGTATTTATATACCTTCACATGAAATGAAGAAATTTATGAGGATGTGCTTTGGAGAAGAGCTTCAGGTGTCCATTAAGGGAAAATCATTACTGGTGGGCCTGTTCTCCTTTGTATTTGTCACTTGTTATGATTTCAATATCAGTAAATATTACATTTTCATTTCCTTGTAAAATTTGCTTTTTTTTTTCTTTTTAGAGGTAACCGAATCAAACTGACCTTTTTATTTCAAAATGACAAACTTACTTTTATAATACATGGATGATAAACAAAATTTGAATGTTAAAAAAAGAATTAAATACAAACAGGCTATGATTTTAACAAGTAAGTGAAAGCACTTGCCTGAGTTTCTTGCCTGACCAGCGGCATGTTCTGGAGTTGGTGACATCCCTCTGCTGCTCCCTCCATCTGAGACATCTTCTGTATGGAGGAGGTGATCCCCACTTGCTATACTACTGCTCGTCTCATCTGATGAACCTGTACTCTCCCGACGCAGCAGGGCTTGGCGCAGCTCGGTGATGTTAAGATAGTAAGGTTCCTCCTCTTCATCTTCTGATATCCCATCTTCATTTACTGGCACTGCTTCACTGTAGATTCCTTCATCAGACAGTGTTCTTGTTCTAGTTGCCATCGAATCTATGTCTGTGTTTTCATATGGAGTCCTGAATTGTGTCTTTTCTTCTTTCATTCCAAACTTAGTCCCTCTACCAGGCAAATCTGGGATATAGTTATTTTGTTCACTTAGTTCACTCTCCGTCCTCTCTCGTCGATGTTGGTATTTCTTCTCTGTAAAATGGGTCTTCAAATCAAGGGTTCCTCCCTCTTTTGTGATGTTAATATCAGCCTCCACTGCACCTAAGGTCAAGTGTTTAATAACATCAATGCTATTATCCTTGTTTACAGGTGAAGCCCCAGCTTTATAGTCAAATCTACCTGTCCGGGATCCTGTATTGTCTATTGACTGTGACGTATAGGGTAATGGCTTGTTTTGGTCTGTATCACACCTTAAATCTGGTGACAGGGGACTTCTGTTTCCTCTTACATGCCTGTGACTATCTGGGTCAAACAAATTATGTTCATCCGAGGTATCAAATTCGCTATCATCTGGTCTGATCTCAAACTCGCCTGGGTACCGCCAGTCTTTGAAACTAAGACTTTTCCGTGGTAGTGGCACAGGGGGCTTCTTTTTAGATTTCACGCGCTTTATAAAATCTTCTTGAGTTTCATCTCCATGTGGGGAGAATCCCATACTACTGTCTGCTGAATCTGATGTGACCGAAGAAATCGACTTGCTGGAGTCACTGTAATTTCTTGCACCAGGCAACCCAGTATCCATGTTGTTATCACTGGTTTTCATGTCTTCCTTAGGTTTATCCTCTTCATCTGGAAGATGGATTTCCTCGTACTGATGATAGCGTCTAATTCTCCCCTTCACCTCAGCAATTGGCCTGCGTGTCGAACCAAAGTCTGACTCACTATGCTCACCGAACTTATTCATGACTGAGGGCCTTGTTACAAGATCGTTCTTACTGACCTTCTCAAGTGAGCGCTCTAGATACTCCACAAGAAAAGTCTCCTTTGAAAGCTCCAGTTGCAACTCGAGTAACCGTTCTTTTCTATTCTGTAGTTCGACTTTGATGTCAAGTTTCTGTTTAGCACTGTCTATCCCAACCCGTTTTCTACTCGCGCCATCATGTTGACTCACGAGGCACTGCAGTTTGGGCGCTTCGTAATCCGGGAACTTTTCATTCCACTCGTATAAAAAGTCCTTTTCAAGATCCATAATGAAATGTTATCACTTTCTCTTCAATCACCGATAAGAACACAACATGTTTAAAGTGAAAGGAGGTTACTACTGATCACCAGGCACATTCACTTCCTCGAATAATATAAGAGATATGACGTCATGAGTTCCTGTCACGTGACTTGCGGAATTCCCTTCCGGAACAACTTCATGGGAAAGCTGCAACTGGCACGGATTGCATCTAATTTAGAAGAGCAAAAATTTTAGGGTGTACACCAGGTTACACATGTATACGGAACGGTGCATCCTGCAAAAATCCCTTACAAAATTAGAAAATAGGCCCTAGCTACATGTACCAGTGATTGAAACTATTAGTTACTTTTAAAGCAACAGTTAATTATTCGTTAACATTCATTATTAAGACCTTTTTTATACCATTATACGTTTATTTTAAGATAAAATACAAGTTCGATTCATAGATATTTATTTGTGCTCTTGTTAATATCGAAGGTAACGTGTAGAAACCTCAATATACCTACCTAATTTGAGCCGCTAATTCAGCATAGACTCTGAAAATCAATTTAATCTTGGACATAATAATATTATGTCCAAGATTTAATAAAATAAAAATGTGTAAATTACATTTCATAGCGTTTACATGGAATACTAACTGGATTTAAGTATAGATTGCCAACATGTCCCGGCCCATATTTGAAAAATAATAATGTTACACGTGTAGCTAAGTGCTTGACGCTTGTTCTTTAAATGGTTTTGTTGCTCTACCTCCTTCCCAATTGAATCTATAAGGTTAACTAGCCCCAGTGTGACGAAACTGAGGGTCCGTGTAACAGAGAGTCCACCCTCCATTTTATCATACAGGTTAGGATTGTGCAAATTAATGGGGACAGAATTCTCTATCATAGGGCACTCTGTCACGTCACACAGTTCTAGCTGTAAAGCCTAGCTAGCTACCGTTCTCTCTTCTTAAAACGTCTTTTTGCCATAAGCTATTTCTTGCAAAAATTATAATTTTGTATGCTAGCACTTGCTAAGCACCTGGATATCTATAAATCAGATTTAAAAATGATCAAAAAGTATATCCTTATATGACTTCTATTTTTTCGCAATAAGATTTAGATAACTTTTCCTGTTTAAACCATAAAGGTTGAACACCTTTACAATTACATAGATTCACTCTCCTTTTCTCGATATAAACATTAATTAAGAGTGCATGTAGACTACCTCTACACACAGTCGAACATTCTTAACACCCAAACCCAATATAGAGGTGCAATTGATGTCACAAGCATGTTATTAAAATATTTACTGCACAGATTGCTAACTGTGTTTGATTATTTTAGGGTCCCACATGAAGAAGCATGTATAAAAGTTTCACTCTCCTGGAACCATGAATAATTAAAAATAATTCATCGTTTAACCCCAAAAAGGAACATACGTTACTGTCACAAATACAAAACGTCCAACTGTGAAACGTTCTACTCACTTTGGAAATTCAGTCATCACTGGTTTTGTTCATTGATTTATCTCCTACAAGTATAACGTTGCTAAAAATTATAATAATCTTCTGTATAGACCAGTTAATTGTTTTTGAGCGACTTAAGTTTGCTTGTCACAGAATATTAAATAATGGGGAAAATACACCCTACCGACAGTAAAATAAGCATTAAATAAACATGTTTCCCTTCATGATCCAAAGATTATATCAGAAATGTCAAACTATCAACCACAATATATTGTTCAGTCAGCAAAAGAAAACATTGTATCTCTTGCAAACAAGTACTTGAACAAAATGAAACATTTTGACATTTTTTTCTAGGGAACATACGTTACCTAGTATTAGCCATGACGCAAAGCCCCTTGAGATACAGTTTAAATATTTATAAAAACGTCCTTACGTCATGTCTAATTTACCATGACTGAACCACTAAAAACATCGGAACGCGGCATAAAAATGAAAATTAAATGGCAAGAACATACGTTACCGTACGTTTTTTGGAACATACGTTACCATATAGGGCTCTTTGCGTAATGTTAAAGATATGGTAAAAATTTAAAATTGAATTTCAGTTGAGACAGTCGTGGATTTTTGTTCTATACACATATATGTTTTGAAATATTGAATACAATTTTGAATTCATTCATTTTTATTTTTTGACACTTCAGCATGTGAAATGCACCTCTATATTGGGTTTGGGTGTTAAACGCGTCACTTGTTTTAAGAAACACTTAGGACGCGTTTTAACATTTTTAATCATGCTTGCTTCAAATTTTATTTCCTTTAGGTCGCAAGTAGGTTACTACGTACAGTACGTCGGCACGTAAACAAAGTCCTTATTTTTTGTAAAATAATATGTGTACGGAGTAACTATACACGTCTTGTCTTTCTTCGTCCCTAAACTGTGCTACAAAATGTCCCAGATGTAGGCCTATAACTTTTGTATGCCCCGTTTATAATATGTAAGTCTATCAAATATTTTCCAATCTCACAAATGAAACATAAACGATTTAATGAAGATAAACAGAGCAACGTAACTTAACGCAGGGCTTTCACTAGACGTTACTGTTACGTTGCAGAATGACACAATATTCTTCACTGACAATTTGTTGTTAGCAACCGATAGATGAACGTTTTTGCCAGTTTTAGAATTTTTTGTTGTGGCAACAAACATTTTTACAACTTTTAAAAACATTTAAAGGATATGTATAAAACCAAAGATAATATGTGTATTAAAAAAGCGTATCACTGATAGCCAAAACGGTTGATATCTGTACTGTCAACACAAGAAAAACTATAGATATAAAGCGAATAACTTTTTCTCATGCGCATAGCGTCAAGGCAACCAACGGATCAACACGTCGTCAAGAACGTCAGTTGACTGCGAGCTCTCTTAGGCCTTCGTCAGAATATTTCCATATCGCACAATTTTTAAGTTATACGTACGCCTCTGGAACAAATTGGTGAGTTCATTTGAAGTCATCTTAACCCCAATTTGATTAACAGTATTTCCCAAAATAATGCTATTTGGTTTTATTATTATTATTGTCTAATTTTACTAACACAAGCACTTCCCAGAAACAAGCGTCATAAAACAATAACGACATGCCGTTTTTCGGTTCCTTGTTGATGATACGTTGCAGACAGCAGAATTTCATCGCTGTTTTAGTCTTTCATTGTAAGTTCTTTGTTCGGTCCTTTAAATCGTTGATAATGTAGAATCTTCAAGTACTAAGATATAGTAATAAATTTAGGTTTTATTAAAACCTAAGTTTTATTTAAAAGATATTTTTGTAAAATGCAACAGAATGACTACTAGTAATCAACATACATTTCACAGTAATAGTTATGGCTATCAAAAAATTTGATGGAGAAGTATTTAAAGTATGATTAATTCTACCATAATTCACAATAAAAAAAAGAAGTAAACTAGGAAAACACTCAGTGCAGTAAATGCAGAACTCCACTGGAGGATTAAAAATTTCTTTTAATTTTACTTTTTAGGTGATGATAATGACAGGAAGAGCCTTGAAGGCCCCAAGCAAATATTGTTCATGTGGTTGTGGAGGGATGAAGGCCTATCACACCTCTATTTTACCAGCAAAAGCTGAGACTATAAAGAAAACAGCATTGCAAAAATCTGCAAAGAACAGTCAAAAACCACACAAATACCCCAATGCAAGTCAAAAGTCTTCAAATTTCTACGGGCCAAAATCAAGACGAACTGTTGCTTCAGATTCTTTAGAGATAATCAGAGCTGAGTATGATACATGGAAGGACATGAAGTTGGCTGTAGAGTGCCTGTTGATGCTCAAATCTTCCCAGAACTGGGAACAAGTTCCAGCTATGACTCGGAGCATGAGTGTACAGGATACAGTTGAGAATGAAATGGAGGCAGCAGCCAAAGGACTTTTGCTGCTAAAAAGTGCATCACAGATGCAGAAAATTAATCAGTCTAGTGCTTTACCAGCATTTTTTGGTCTTACTAGTTCTCCAGACAAAGCTGGACCAGAACAAAGTGAAGACTTGAACTTGAAGGAAGCTGCTGAAGGATTGACAGTGCTAAGTGGCATCAACAAACCTCATACAGGAGAAAGATGCAAGAAGCCTTGGGCACTGGAAAATCCAAGGCTACCCCAGAGTGGCAGACATTTCTGTCAACCAATTGTATCCAGTATTGTTACTCCTGCCTGTGTTCAGTTTGAGCATGAGTATGATGTAGAGAATGCTTTGGAAGGACTTCTGATGCTCAATCGAGCTAGTGCATATAGTCACATTACTAAGTGCAAGGCGCACCTTGGTTCTGAGGTCCCAGAGCATCCCATGGTTCCTCAGGATTTTGCAAAAGCCAAGCATAAAATTGATGTGGAGAATGTTGTGGAGGCCCTTTTCAGGTTGGCTGGTGCCAGAGGGGGTGTGGCTGTGGACAAAGAAAGTGCTGAGACTGAAAAGATGATGGTGTTGCAGAATAAAAGACAGTCCACTATTGTTCCATCTTTCAATGGTACATAAATTATTTTGTTTCTTTATTTTTAAGTTGGTAAACAAATTGTAGGAATAGTTTAAAAGCTGTTAAAAATACTGATGACCTTATATGTGTTTTTATTGCATTTAAGACTTCTGTCTTTCATAGATTTGAAGTATTCTGTTGCAACTGATCTGAATGTTGAATATTTTGGTACACAATTAATTTTGAAAGGTTTGTAATTTGAACAGTATGGTATACTGTAAATATTCTTCCACTTGAAATAATGTGAATTAAGTTTTTCCTTTTCTAGATTTATCTGATGGACCTTACTCTTCAACGTCTAATCCTGACTCACTGATTTCAACCTCTGATGCAGTATTGAATGCTGGAAAGAGTATCAGACTTGTGATCATGAACAGTGATTGTGATCTTCCAGCCTCTGTTGTTTTGACAAGGCAGCATGTTGTCTCTGGCGAGGCTCTGATGATAGGGGCAGAAGTGGAGGTCCCAGCACCAGGTAAGATTTGACAGTAGTAGATATTATATCGGGTGGCTCAATGATATGTTACTTATTTCAAAGCTCAATAATAACTTTAACAGTTCATAAGCTTTTGAATTGGGATTTTACACAGATTTTTCATACATTACTGGGCCACTCTGAAAATTTTTAGTGTTCAAGTGAAACAGTTTTAATATTATCATCAAATTAAAAGCACGTTGAAAAATGCCATGACAATGAAAATGATACCAGCCAGAAGTCACATAGGGCGACAAGACATTTTTTCACTTAAGAATTTAATTTTAATTTTGTGCCAAAACTAAGAAGACAGAGTCATGAAATTTTCAGCATTTATAAAAAACATCATTTTCCTAAAATATCCCAAAATTTCTTTGCAATATTTTCAAAACTGTTGAAGTTACTGAACTTTGACATTAGTAACATTTATACTTTTGAGCCATCCAAAATATATGGACTTTTTTTTTGTTTTTGGTAAATTCATTAAAATTTATCATTGAACAGAAACGTATAAATTTTACCTTTGGTGTACTATAAAGAGAGGTTATGTTTTTGATTTAAAAATTAATGTACATTTATCAAGGACTGATGGTTGCATTCTGATCTCATTCTTTTTTATACTATGATGAAATGCAAACTTGTTTTCAGCCTTTATGGAAATTCAAGGAAAACCTAGCTGTTCAGGTGTTTTTTCAGCTTGGAAAATTCCTGGTGTTTCCCAGCCTATTGCAACACCACATACCAAACCTCAGCTGTCAGAAATAGGTACATTTATATATCTACATTTAGATTTTTTATTTGCTTGATATGCTTCCTTGTGAGAATTGTTTTATCTGGCCTTTTATTTGTAAGGAAAGGAAAATGTGCATTTTGTTGCTTTTCTTTAATGTGAAAATATTTGTTTGCTATTTTATATCAATTCATTAAAATCATTTATTTCAGAGTACACTGTCATCCCGTCCTGTGATCACAGTTACTGCATTCAAGAGTCAAAGGGAAAAGCCAACTGCAAACAAGCCACTCCAACTGGCAAGAAGTTCAACAAAAGCCAAGGCATCAAAAGAAAGGCAGAGAATCTGGAGCAGAAAATGGAGTTGAAGAAAGCAAAGGGAGAGTCAGTTTGTACCTCTGGTCTGCAGCACACTGTTGGATCCAACTCTGACCAGTTCTGGGGGACCCAAAGAACAAATTGATTTTCAAATCAGAAGCAAAACAGTGTGACTGGAATTATTCTGGAATATATCAGATAATAATTCTGATAGTAAGAGCATAACGTTGTGTAAAAAATTATAGTTACTCTTACTCACCCATTTTACAAAAAAAAAAAAAGCTTATGGAAATACTATTAAAAGCAGCTGTGATATGAATGTGCAATATGTCATTTTAAGATAATTATATATAAGATAATGATTATGATCAATATGTCAGATATTTCCTTGAACCTGAAAACTAAAAGTTTTTTTTTTAATTCTGTGACTGTGCATTTTGGTGACTGTGTAGGAGGAATGTGAACATTTTCTTTCAAATATATTGTGTTAGTATATAGAGCCGAACCATTTAAACAACTTAAAATTACATTTCCCAGTTTATTTTGAAATGGTGAATAAGGTGTCTGAATTTTTAATGAATATTTTATTTAATGATATGACACAATATGTGGCTATCAATATTTTTGAATTCTCGAATTTGGAAATAAGATATACAACCATCAAAATTTTACTGAGTTAGATATTTTTATGCATACTCTAGCATTTTTTAACATAAGAGAGAAATTTTTATAAATGGTTCACATTTTTGTAGTCATATACAGACCAATCTTTTTTCATTCCAATTGTTTGTTGATGCTTTTGTAAAGTACATAAAAAATCAACAGTCTCACATTTTGGTATTTCACAAGGTTTTCAGAATAATTCACAATGCTATAGACCAATTTGTACATTGTTTTCTTAATAAACTATAAGAATAAAGAAACGTTGTGTTAGTGCTTGTATTTATGCAGCAGTTTGTGAGAGAAAAATAGTAATTAACAGCAGCAGTGCAGTAGAGCTTTATTGAATGTGGTTGTTGAGACAAGGGCACACCCAAATGTATTGTAACATAAGTTGCATCGCTTCAATATATAGATATAAAATTTTTGAAAAGTATAAAAAGGGTAGATCCTTTTGGATATGCTTTTAAAATGACATTTGAACCGTGAGGTTTCTGAGTAATGTACAGGCAAAATTAACCCCCTACCTTGAACAGCATTTTGAGTGTACAACAAAATTTCATAGTGATTCGAATATTTAATCAAGTTATGTCAAAATTTGATAAAACAATATTATAAATAACAAACTTGAATCTCAAAAATCATACTTACTCATTAAAAAGAACTGTAATCTAGTTTTAAAGAATGTTTTCAGTTGATTAAAGATTTAACACTAATTTTAAAATTTGTTGAAGTTAAAATCAGTTTAATTGTTCTAAAAGTCTCTAATAAATGTATCTTAAATTATTTCAATTTCTCTTCTCAGCCAGAGAAATAAATGTGGGGATCTCCCAATTAGTAGTTGATCTCTGGAAATGTAACATCGATGATGTGTTAAAAGGAACATTGAAAATTTGCTGAATCAGGGAAAATCATTTTAATTTTTTTAAATGTATAAGCTGCTTATTACACCAAAAGGGACTGTGGTAAGGGGAAGTGAAAAGCACCTTACGTACTGTTGTACAAAAGTAATTTAATAATTCTCAATAACAATACAAGTTTTACATAACATAATATAGCTTCTGAACATTCAGAAATAAATCTATTGTTTAATCAGATTCTAAGTTTTGATATGGTAATGTAAAATGCCCATTAAATGTAATATTCCTTTAAAAATCAAAGCTAAAATAGCATTTTGGCAGTTAAATGTTTGAACAGAAAATTGTTGAACATTTTCTATATAAGCTTAATGGGCATATCATTAACTACACAGAATCCTAAAAGTTCTGTTATATAACAGATGTTATATACAAAGTTTGTACATTTGGCATAACTGAAGATATGCAGTAACAAAACTAGACTTCTGCTAACACATCTACTGAGTTGAACTTCACTTGCCAAACAATCTTATTCTGTGAAGTCTAACACATAACTGAATTCTACAATTTAACTAAAATTCCAAGCCTTAATGTTAATATGCTTTCAGCAGCAGAATGAGTTGCAGTAATAATCTTTGGCATTGTGCACTAAAATATCAGGGATTTTCCATTAAAATTCTGAAGGGAAGAGTATACATTAACTCAATGCTCACAAAAAAGTCTGAAGGCTGCTGTATCAAATTTGTGGGCATTGATGGCTAAAATTGTTTTTCACTGATCAATGTATGGCTCAGAATGATATATCCACCTTCAGTTTAAAATAAAAAAAGGCCCTTAATTACACATTTGGAAGAAGGCACATAGGAACCTCTTTACACATGTGATTGTCTGTGTAGCAGACCATACATTTAAATCTAGCATACCCCCTGCCTGCCTGAAGCCTGCTTGTGAGCTGGAGCACTGCTATGTAAATATGAAGCCCAGCTGCTGTCTTCTCCTACTCTTTATAAAATGTCACAAGCTTTGATATTATTTCAATTTCAAGAGATTAGCACATATCATATGTGTTGACCACCAGAAAATGACTAAAAAGTGAATCAGTGACATGGCATATCCTCTTAACAGAAAGTTAGTAGAGAATTGAATTTTGCTTTCAGCTCAAAGCAGTTTTGTGTAACTGTCATAATACTCTTCCTATCACAGATGTTTACAGTCTACTCCAACAGACTCTTTTTACTCAACACTTTGGGAAAACCAAACTATCTCAAACTTCTCAGTTTTTTTTGCATTTTCTTAACAAACAAATAAATAATTATAATTCAGCACAAATGTGTCTTTTGTGAAACAATACATCACTAACATAATTTTGCATTTTTAATTGCAATTGATGTCATTTTCACAAACTCAGGCAAAAATGATAATTTTTGATATGCAGACTGGCCTCCAAGCATTAGCTTATTTTAGATACTTGGTACATGAATAAAACTACCACTATATTGACTTAAATTCAAGTTGCAAGCTTTCTGCATTTTTTTCTTTTTATTTTTTGTGAAAATATATTGCCAGCTATGAGGATAATATCCAGACAGCTTCCATAGTGTAAGCATGGCATCTAGACCAATCTCTAATTGTAATTCAATTGACAATTCCTATAAATGTAATTCTAAAGTATAGCATTACCTTGTTTATAAAATGCGGGCCAATTGTCTTGGCAGTGCTGTTTAATATGGCACACAAAATCCACAAAGAAGGACATGATTTGACAATTATAAATTCAGGATTTTAATAGAAAAATGGCTAAATGAAAAAACAAAACATTTTGATGTTGATGAGAGAATATATCAGGTTTCACATGATCAAGAAATACTTCACTACTTAACAAGTTACACTTTTTTACTCATATTCCTTCATAAAAAATTCTTATTAAAATTTACCAAATTCTGATCTGAGCAGATGGATAATCCTTATCCTTGCTGAAATCTGGTGCACAACAGCTAAAAACATGAACCTGTCAACCAGTCTCATTTCAATTGTCTTTCAACACATTTAATACATGATAAAAGATTGATTGAATACTGAACATTGATCCATGGAATAATTCTTTTTATCTTTATACTGCAAATGAAAAATATCTGTCAAAAAAAAAACAAGTTATCTGAACAATACTTTTCTTGGTGTCCTTATGCAACTGATATCAGAAATTAAATTGAGATGCTTACATGGTAAGTTGCGTAATTAGCACAAATATCAGTCATTTTTTGTCAATCAAAATGGATAAATCATACATATTTGACCTCAACATATTATGGCTCAGCCTTTTCCCATCCACCATTGCTGCTCTTTCAGAATGTTTATCTTGTCTACAGCTATTTCAGCAAACAAGCTGCCAAACTTCTATTAATATCACAGCATTGAAATATTTCAACAGCACAACACGTATGGATCTATGTACCCCATTCCCTGGGCTCTTGCAGCTATTGAACTCTGCCACTTTTTGCACTTGTGGAAGAGCTAATAGCAGGCCTAGATGCCAGGTGTCCAGCCACCTCTCTGACAGTGCCCACTGATGTCCTATCATGCAAGCAGTTTTGGCCAGCTGATCCCATGACAGACTACTTGATACAGTATGATGACAATGGAGAAGATGATAATGATGATGAGTTTGTTTTATAAGTCATCTCAACAAGAACATGAGAAAATACTCAATGGCAAAAGTCTCTCCTGCTTGTGACATCATGTGTCATCCGTTTTGTCATCCTTACAAGTCACACAGCAGTGTCTGGCAACAAAGCGCTGATCACACAAACCTTTGCCCTTCAGAACTTCACATGTTGTTGACCTCATCTTGTCTATTCTGCAGTCCCCTTCTTCAAAGGCTACAAAAAATACAGAATTGTTGAAGCAAAATGCAATTTCATGACTTACATGGAAGTGCTAAAACCAATTTCAATCAATTTTAATGAAATCACTGAATGAGGACATGGAGGAAACAGGGGTTTCCAGACTTGGCCGGTCACACTGACTACATTACTGGCATCTGGGAGTAGCACTTAGACTCAACTTACTGCCACCAAGGCTGAGTGACTAGGGATAAAAAAAAAGTCATTACAAACTTACATTACTTATTAAATACTTACCTGCATTTTCATCACTGCAACCATCGGTATTGCACTGTTGCTTATCTACAGGTTTTATGCTGGAGTCACACCCATCTACTGGCTCATCTGATGATGTGTTTATACACTTTACATGCCGAATCTGCTCTCCTGTGCCACAGGACTTTGAACACTGAAAACACACCAAGTAACCAGTAGTGCATTTACACACAATGGATTACTCAAATCTTACTCTGTCAAATAAGAAATTACCCACAGCAATGAAAATAATATCACAATTATCTAGTCACCAAAAAAATAAAAAAACATATATATATATATATAACACAAATATATATAACACACACACACACACACACACACATATATATATATATATATATATATATATATATATATATATATATATATATATATATATATATTCCATAATAATCTACCTGTTTAAAAGTAGTTTTAATCATAGAGTTTCCTTCACAAAAGTGACAACTTACAGAGCTCCATGGTCCTGTCACCCACAGCAGACAGGACTTTTGATTACAGTGCTGATGTATTGCTGGCTTAATAGAGTGGTCACACCTATGTTTCTCTGGACACCGCACACTTCTTGCTTGGACTCCAGGTCCACAGCTTACAGAGCACTAAAATCCAAAAGAAAAATAAGATATCGAAGCATTGCATAAATTCAAGAGACTATTTGTTAGGGGTGGTTATTCTTAGAGAAGATACAGTAAAGATACAGCTGTCAGCATTCTATTTTGTACCCACCTCTCCCCAGTCAGAGACCTCCCACTCTAGACAGGGTTCATCATTACAGGCCTCCACTTCTGATGGCTTGTCTCCATCATGGCACATAGTGTCCCACGAAACTGTTTTAGTCACTTGGTTCACACATTTCATGGGGCGTGTCCTGACACCACCACCACATTCTTTACTACACTGTAAAGAAAACACATATATAGATCTTTCAAATACATTGGTTGTAAAGATATTTTGATGAGCTTGTAAAGAGCTTTTCATCATGATTCATAAAGCCTGAATCTATAAAATTATCATACAGTTCATTACCATAAACTTGTCAAAACAATAAGATTTACAGCACATAAATTAAACCATTTCCTTGAATAATAAATCGATAAAAGATGTTCATTGAAGTGATAGTGCTTACTGCAGATACTACAACATATTTCAAAATTCTTATCTCACTATTTCTATGTACCAGATCTCACATCTTGGTTGATTGGTCAATATTTTATATATTTCCAATAACAAAAAGACAAAATTAGCTCATCTGAATAAGTCCTTTGGGAGAAACTTACAGCTGACCATTCCAATGGCCTCCACTTGTATAACTGCATCTGTGTTGCCGTTACTAAAACTTCATTTCTTCCATCTTCACTTCCAAGACTGATTTCTTCATCTTCTTTATCTCCTGCATTGTTTCTAATATTTTTTGAACTATGTGTTCTATTTCTGTGACCATGATGATGTCTATGTCTTTGATTTATTGGGTGCTGTTTTTCTGTAAGTTCCTGGTTACTGGGAGTATCTACAGCTCCATCATCCAGATCAGCTTTGCTATTTGAAGAAAATGGAGACAGCACTTTGTAATCTTTGTCAGATGGATTGATGCCACTTTGTTGCTTATTGTTCAAATCATCAGTCTTTGCAGTTGTTGAAAATGAAGCTACTGTTGTTGGTGATGAAGTAACAATGGTCTGGTCTGTGTTGCTGTCATTGTTGCGACTTTGGACAGAATCCACCAGATTTGTCTTAAGACTGGAGTTGTCTTTTTGTGAAGAATCTCCAATGTTTTCCAGTTCTGGCACTACATTGCTGATGTCAGTGGGGCAAGGTATATTGCTGCACACCTGAAACAAAATGAGTTAATCTAAAATAAAG